TATAACAGAATGTACAAAAAGCTAGAGTTAGAAAACCAAAAATAATGAACATGCTCAGCATTTTTTATGCTCAAAAAACTGAAGAACAAATTGAAGTCTCAAGTTGCAATACTCAAGGATTATATAGACAAAGTCTTCTTTTAAGAAAATAAATAAGGCCTAGGATCTGTTGGATCATCTTTTTTTGTAATGGGAGTAAATATGCACCTCTTCCAGTCAGATTGTCCTCTCGATTTCTAAGCACAGCCTGGTGAGCATGTCCAGGTAAGCATCTGTTTGTTGAAATATGCCAATTGGTATTCCATCAATGCCCAGGACCTTCTTTTTTGCAAATTTCACAGAGCAGCTTGAACTTCCTTCTTTATCAAGATTGTCTCATTTTTTAAATAAAATTTTTCTTTTATAGTGGTTTAAAAAAAAAAAAAAATCTACCACCACTGCTCTACCGGAGAAAGATGGAGTCTCCTCTCAGCCTTGGAAATGTGAATATAGAGTCACTGAGTGAGAAATGGTTTGACAGTAGCAGTTATTACTATGTGCCGCCAAGAGACTTCAAGAACCTATCAAAACCTTGCCCTATCCTGCACCATCCTCATCATCATCTGTCCTGCCCAAGTGCCCTGCTGCAGTTGCTGAGTCAATCCATCTCATTGGGGGTCTTCTTCTCTTTAGCTGACCCGCCATCTTTTCCAGCCTGGTGTCTTTTCCCAAGGACCGGATTCTCCTAACAATATACCCAAAGTATATGAGACAAAGTTTCCCAATCTTCACCTCCAAGGAGCACCTTTCCTCTAAGACAGACATGTTTGCTCTTTGGCAGTCCATGAGATACTCTGTACCACAATTTAAAGGCATCAATTCTTCTTCAGACTTCCTTATTCACCACTCAGCTTGTACCTACATATAATATGAAATTATTGACAGCTTTAATCTTTTCTCCGTCTATCATGATTTTGCCAACCAGCTCAATGGTGAGGATTTTTGTTTTCTTCATGTTGAGATGTAACCCAGATTGAAGGCCGCAGTCTTTTATCTCCTACAATAAGTACTTCAAGTCCTCTTCAGTTTCTGCAAGCCAGGTTGTATCATCTGCATAATGTAGGTCATCGATGTTAACACCGAGTTTAGTGGTTGATGAGAGCAGTGAGTTTACTGTTCCACATCTAACAAACCTGAGTGTGTTTGGATATCAATGTCTGTTACGACTAAACGAGGATGAAGCCCTCGTCTACACTCAGCTTTTTCAGAATACATGATAAAATAAGGTGTATATATAAACTTGTTTAAGTTCTGGGAATAAAAACTGAGAACGGTTAATGGCTAACTAACGAAACATTAACACTGTATTTATATTCTCCCCTGTTTCAGAAAAGATTTGAAGTAGAAATAAGTGTACTATTCCTCATCACACTTACCACATTTGCTGAGGTGACCAATGGCTTTTTCATACCGCTTCAAATATTTGTCTATAGTGAACCGCTGATAGTTAGTTTCCATTTTCTTAAGTGTATTAAGAAATGGAAGATACTCTTTGGGATCCTAGGAAGACAAACAACTATGTGTACCTTTGTTTATATACAAAAAGAATCATTTTATTCTTTTTTTAAATGTAATTTTAATTATAAAATGTTTAATTTATGGCAATAGATTCCAAACTCTATAATATCACATTTACATTTACATAGTATTTACACATTATGGAGTAAAAAAAAATCAGATGATGAAAGGGTTTTTAAGTAAATTATGGTTCCTGAACTTTATATAAAAACCAATAGGGAGTCCAAGAAGGATTTTAAGCAAAATCAGAATTTAAGCAAAAGCACTCTGACAATGGCAAATATAGGACTAATAAGGACTTCACTAGGGCTGCAGAAGCCCCTATGAGAAAAGCAGACCAATGGTGCTTTGTTTCAGCACACAAAGGCGGACCACGAGGCTCTGATCCTTCCTATGCCCATGGCTTTACTTTCTATTGGACAAAAAGGGTTTAATAATTTGAAAAAAAAAAAAAGAAAAAGAAAATGAAGCAAAATATATTAATCCTTTGTTGTACTTCCTTTATACAAGAATTATTTCACACATAACATCCATGTTATATTTCTATGCAGATAATGCAGGCATTATAGGTCTTTTCATAGAAAACAAATAGGTCCTAGGGAAGTGAAACCAGGGCCCTCCTTGAAGGCTAGGATGGTGCCACTTCATCTCACATGTTTTGGGCGTGTTGTTAGGTGGGGTCAGTCCTTGGAGAAGGACATCATGCTGGGAAAGGCTGGGCATCCGCTGAGAAAGACCCTCAACAAAATGGACTGACACAGTAACTAACAATGTGCTCAGGGTACTGGGAATGGTGAGGGGCCACAGCATAGGGCAGGGTTCACAGCTACTGTTCATGACGAGTTGAAGTTGATTCAGTGGTATGTAAAAACAGCATGCATCTTTGCGCATCTTTCATCTCTAAGCATGTTATTTTCGTGTGTTATAATCTATAGTTTTTTAATGTGAACAGTGTCAATTTCTTGCCCCACCACCCATCCCCCCACACATTTAATGTTAAATCTTTATCATGGCTCCCATTAATGTGGATGTTTGCTTCCCAGCAGCTGACTGCCAGCTTTCCTCAAATTTAAGCACCCCTCCCTCTCTAACGCAGAAAGAAATAATTTTTTCCACCCTGGAAACACCTTTTCCAGGGTGGTAAGTCCAGGAGGTGCATGGGCCTGCGCAGCAGCTCTGAATCTTCTGACATGCAGTCGAGCTTACTAATTGTCACAGTCGGGCAGTTTCATTCTCCGGCTGAGGATCCCACAGGGTGAGCAGGAGAGACAGGGGTGTCAATGGTCATGCATTCTTCATTTGAACTAGACAGATCTGACTGGCCACTAGGACCCTCACAGAGACAGGGCAGTGTGCACCCACACCTGTCCCACCCTGGTGCCAAGCTTCATGGGGGGCTGACATTGTGGGACCTGGGCACACGTGGGCAACTGCTCCTACGCACTGCAGGACATGCCTGTGCTCAGGCTATGTGGCAGCCCCCCGTGGTATGACCCTCTGCCCCATCTCTGGTTGGACACACCTGGGCACAAACTGCTTACTCTTTTTCTCTCAGGGTACAACATGTTCCAGGGCAAGCGGACACCTTCAGTTGTTTATTTTCTAATTTTTAGAGTACGTCTAAACTTTGGAAAAGGTACAGACAGGGGCGCTTCCTGAAAGCAAGGAGAGTGAAATGTTTCACATACTTGGGCATGTAGTTAGGAGGGACCAGCCCTTGGAAGAGGACACCATGCTTGGAAAGGTGGAGGGTCAGTGAAGGAGGGGAAGACCCTCAAGGAGATGGAGTGACACAGTGACTGTAATGGTGGCTTCAGTATGTGAGAGGATGTCATTCAGGATGGTGTAGGATCCATTATTCATTGGGTCAATACTGGTCATAGCTGACTCAATGGCACCTAACAACAATAACTAAACTCGATCCACAGGTTTTTTTATCCTGGTGTATTACTTTGTTATATAAATATGGCCAAAGATAACATTTTTGAACTACTGAATGAGAGTGAATAAAGCTGATACTCATTTTGGGAAAAGTCATATACCACAGGTGGTTTTGTTATCCCAGAATTCTTTTAAAAAATTTCATTATTCTCATCCAATATTTATGTGTGCATTATTTACCTAAATGTGTGACTTTTTAAAAACAAAACCCCACATATAAAATAAGAAATTTTAGTTCACTTACATAACCAAACAATCCAAATAGTTTGACAGAATGAAATTTGGGCAAGAGTAAAGGCCCTGGAACCTTACAGCCCCTCTGCCAGTCTGGTACTAAGAGTGTAACAGCAGGAAAGCTACTAACTTCTGGGGAGCAGGCTTTCATACTACCATGACCTATTAACAAAACCCAAAAAGACTTAAGAGCTCAATCTACATACCTTCTGTGACTTCTCAGCTACCATGAGGACCAAATCAAAGTCATAGGTCCCAAGAGAATGATCATACAATTCATTAACATCTACCAGAAGCAGCAAGTATTTCAGGGCCTCTTCTGCACTCACAGCATTGGAATCAGATGCAGCATTTCCTGTCAGTGTTTAATAAAGAAAACAATTTGAGAGAAGGAAAAAACCCAAGTCATAATTCACACACACACCTAGTAGCATAATATAAAAAGACAAAAATCACAACCTTTCATAATAGAATGGGACACAAGATGAAAGCAACTTCTTATTGTTTTGTATGTTTTATAAGGGAGAACCCACAAATAGTCTCACATGAAAATGGTGGCCCAAGGTCTCATGTGAAATCTGTGTGTGGCAATAATGGTCCTGGTCAATATTAACCCCAAAAGACCCAAACACTGAATAAGAGCTGAGGCTACTTTTTAAACACTTGGTCAGAGGGGTCTCTACCTTGAAGCTCGTGAACTTTCTGGAGCACAACATCCAGTTCTGGGGTTGTTTTCTTCACATGAGAGGTGAGTATTGAAAGGCAGAACCTGAGATAATAACGCAAAAGTATGAGTAAGAGGAACGAGCTGAATAAGGACAACTATGCATGTCTGTTAGTCACAAGATGACAGAGAATGACGGTGCACATACTTCTGAGGGTTTATGTTCTCCATGGCGGCTCTCAGGGTGTCACAGATAAGGTCTATGTTTTTCTCATCAGATTCCCTGGGAAGCTGGACACTGCTAGAAACTGGTGGAGGGTACATAGTTTTTGTAACATCTTCTTCTCTAAGAAAAAAGCATATATCAAAAAATCGCTACTTGAACATACACCCCACTTATCAACTAATGGATACCGAGGAGTACAAATGAGACAATTCAAATTCTTGTTGGAAAATAGCAATTATAAAAATATTCACATATGGAGGGAAAGGGAAATTTATGACTAACTTTTAATTCCAATTTGACTGCTTAGCAGTTCATCAAACAAAAAAGGAACTCATGCAAATGATACTGACTTCTAAGTAGTCAAACTTTAGCAGTCAGTTGTCAACTTTCATTGTTTATATATTATATATATAAAATCATAAATTTAGAAAAAGTCTGAGAGTTTCATATAAAACTAAACCTATAGTGACCAGAATCAAGCAATTCCATTCCTAGTTATTATTAATATGAACCCCCAAGAAAATAAAGTCTAGGTATCTGTCAGTGTGAGAACAGAAAAGCATACGATCCCTAAACAAGCCTACAATTGTATATTTAGGCAAAGCACTAAGCAATAAAATCAAAATGGTATATACACTAAAAGTATGGTCAGAAAGAGCAGCTTTATTTAAGAATAAACACCGGGGAAAAAAATCTAAAAAAGTAAACACCACATGACTTCATTTATATGAACATCTAGAATAGTAAAATTAATCTATAATTAAAAATCCAGAACAAGAGTTGCCTGACTTTATTTATATTAACATCTAGAATCGCAAAATATGCCTATCATTAAAAAACCAGAACATAAGTTGCCTGAGTGAGTTGGGGACAGAGACCAATTAAGGAAGGATTTGAAGACAGATTTTGAGGTAAAGGAAAAAGTTCTCTATCTTAAAAGAATTTTGGGTCACATGGAATTTTGTATTTGTCAGAACTCAATGAATGGCTTTTATGATTTGTATGGATCCAACTTAACCTCAAAAATAAAACTAATTTGGTTCATGCTATGGCAGGCGAGGTCTGAAGGGATAAAGTGGTCATGGCCACAGCTTAGTCAGAAACGAACGCATCTATTAACCACGTTCACTAGATGAATGGGCAGATGACAGTGAAAAAAAATGTGTTAAAAAGGAGAATATGAACTAGATAATCTAGCAGGGGGGTAAAGGATGTTCACTGTACAACTGTCTCAATATTTTTAATGTTTAAAAGTTTCATTACAAGTTGGAAAACAATCATGTTAGAGAAAGGCACCATTTGACTTCAATCTCCCAAGAAAAAGTTATGGTGTTTGTTTTTTTTTTTTTTAAATCTCAACAGTTTCTTATGTATGATTAAAAATCACATTATCAAATCATCAAAAAATAATTATGAGTAACATATCAACAATCTGTGTTAAGCAGATGACACAACCCTGCTAGCTGAAACTGAGGGGGACCTGAAGCGCTTGCTGCAGAGGGTCAAGGACTGTAGCCTCCAATATGGATTGAGGCTCAATGTCAAGAAGTCAAAGATTCTCACCACTTGACCAACTGGCAGCATCAGGATGGATGGTGAAGAGACAGATTGTTCACAGCTCTAGTTTGCTTGGCTCCACAGTCAACACTCTTGGCACCAGTAGCCAGGAAATTAAAAGATGTATTGCCATGGGAAAGTCTGCTGTTAGGGACCTCTCCAAAGTACCGAAGAGCAATGGTGTCTCTATGGAGTCTGTGTGTCTGATACAGGCCATGGTCTTTGTTATCACTTGTTATGCATCAGAGAGTTGGACAATGACCAAGGAGGATAGAAGGAGAATTGATGCCTTTGAGCTGTGGTGCTGGAGAAGAGTATTGAGAATACCATGGACTGCTAGGAAAACAAACAGATTCATCCTGGAAAGGGTTAAACCGGGAGGCTCCTTGGAGGCAAGGATTCTGAGGCTCTGTATAACATACTTTGGACATGTTGTAAGGAGGGACCAGTCCTTGGAGAAGGACATCATGCTTGAGAGGGTGGAGGGACAGCGCAGGAGGGGAAGGCCCTCTATGAGGTGGATTGATTCAGTGACTTGGGTAATCGGGTTGGCAGTGTCGGAGACAGTGCGATTGGCACAGGACAGAGCAGAGTTTAGGGCTGTTATACATAGGGTCGCTATGAGTCGCAAAAGACTCAACGGTACATAATAACAACAACATAAAGTCAACTTTTAAAGGGAATGTTTTTAGCAGAGGAAGAAAAGGGAGAAAACTCACTGCCCTTGGATCCTAATAGTTGTATTAAGAAATAATGTACTGAAAAGCTTAAGCAATTTTTTTTCTAGCTATTTTTTTAATATGAAGAAGAAAAAGAAGAGATAATATTCATGAGCAATTCAAAATACTTACTTCAATTCAGTGAAAAACAAATTCATATGATTTACAGAATCGATCTGTCTTACAAAGGTTTCCACATTCTCAAGAAACACCTACCCAAAAAAAGAGCAAAACAAATTCATTCAGTTCACACTCATTCAAACCTAAAGTGAGCTTGAGGAAATGACATTTTGAAATCACCTTGGGGTTATGATCATGAAGCAAGTTGAGATTAATTCTTAATTTTCTCATGCATTCAAATGCTTCTTTAAACATAAGTCTAGAAGAAGACAGAATATTTTCATTATTACACAAGCCAGTTAAAGCCATCATGCCAAGAAACTACTCCTAGATTTCTGCTCAAATCACAGACTGGGGGGAGGGGGGGGGAGAACCAACAAGGTATTAAGTTTATTAAGCTTCTTAACCTTTGTGATTTAATCACTGAGCAATCTGATGATTATCCTCTCAGTTACACAAAACAGAAATTCATTTCATTTTCAAAAGAAATACTAATATAAGCATTTCCAAGAGAAAGTTCCCCCAAATCAATTCAGACAATGGATCCTTTTCTTTGTGACAGTGGAACAGTCTTGTACAGACCCCTCTGTAAATCTGCTGAGGGTCCTGAGTCTTCCGTCTGGAAAATACAGTTAGGTGTACAATTTCTCTGGGTTCAAGAGCCTTCCAAAGCCTATGGATTTCCTTAACAGTGTTTTGGTTTTGTTTTTTTTTTTAATATAGATTCAAGATTTTTTTGGTTTATTAAACTATACGGCTATAAGATCAAAATATGTAGGGAAAAAGTCTCTAAGAATATGACTGAAGACATATGTAATAAAACTTTCTCAGACTTTTAAGTTTTAAAATTATAATGAAAATACCAATAGTCTCCACATGTTAAGTTATAACAGCTGGTTAACCAGTCACATGAATAGGCACTTACCCATCCAACCACTTCCGTATCTGAGCTAACACCAGTGCACGATGGTGAACAACTTCTAAATTTCCTCTTGGCATCTTAAACAAAAATATTCTCAATAAAAAAAAAATTTAAATACCAGAGCACACACATTTTACCTCCTAACTTTTCAGAGAACTATCATAAAGGTACAAAATAAGAACATCTTTAGCTGAGTTTAGCTGTGCTTTTGAGGGACATTTTACATTTAACTTCATTGTGCTAACATTTCTTTGTACAAAGGAAACAGAGAATCTAACAAGGAAAGGCTTCTAACAAATTATTGTTGTGCCTAAAGTACATTCTGTAAGAATTCTATTTGGGACTGGCTGCCTGATGACAATCAGCACAGCATCAGGAACCAGCTTACCTGGAGTATGAGTTTTGTGTCCTGAGGCACAACAGTGACAATGCGTGAACCTCTCTCTACCTTCCGCAGAGTCTCCACATTAGATGCATTACTGCAGCTCAGGCCTGCCTGTAAAGCTAAAGATACCACATGGACCTAAGCCTTACAAATCACTATCATGACAAGCCACCTTCTACTAATCATAATTGAAACTATGTATTATATGAAATAGAACAGAGTCACTAATACTCAGGATCCTCTGCCCTCAAACTTGATCTCACGACAGTTAACTCTTTCTATAAGCATCCTCATCCCTGGGATTTGTCCTCTCTCTCACAGAGACTTCATGCACACTCACTCACACATTTTAAATGATTTGGAAAAAGAGAGGATTGGGGTAGCATCTTTTCTTACCATCAGTGTACTATAACCACATCAATAAAAGGAAGCTACCCAGTTTATAGAAGCAGTGAATTAAGGAGGACAGAATAAGAATTGATGTCTTTGAATTATAGTGTTGAATACTCATTCCATGGACTGTCAAAAGAATAAACAAGTCTGTCTTAGAGGAAATGCAACCAGGGTACTTCTTAGAGGATGGTGAAACTCTGTCTCACATACCCTGGGCATGCTGGGGAAGGTGGAGGGCCAAAGAGAAAGAGGAAGACCACCAACAAGATAGACCGATGCAGTATCTCTAACAATGGGCACCAGCATATCGGAGGCCATGAGGATGGTGCAGGAAAAGGCAAGGTTCAGGTATAGGGTCAATATGAGTCAAGGTGACTCGATGGCACTTAAGAACAACATGAAGGTAGAAGCAAGGAAAATAAGTAGGTTCCTATAGAAAAAGAAATAAATACACATACAAAGAAGGGAGTACTGAAGAGCAGAAAAATGGAGCCAATTTCATAGAAACAAAGTGATAGATTCTCTGAGATACTGGCTTCCAATGGTGGCCACAATGAGGAAAGGAGATTAGTACGGAAGTTAGAGTATATTGCCAGTTTAACTTTCTACATGATAAATTAAAATAAATGACCAGATTAGTTACATTGTAAAATGTCCTGTTACCTTAGAATGTGCTGTTTAAGAAAAGGACCTCTTTCCTACAAGTCTTTGATAAATGCTGCAGACTGATTTAATTAAGGTGTGGCAATGGAATTAGGGTCTAAGTAAGTAAACTAGACAAGTTTTCTCTAGTTCTAGGTCCTCATGATAATAAGCCAAAACTTAAGTCAATGGACAAAAGATACTAAAAGAGGAGCCATTTCTATTTCAAACGCTGAAAACTTACTTTTAAATGAGGTATCCTTTAAGCAGAAACACTGGCAGGTGTGGGAATGCGTTGTTAGCAATAAAAATTCATCACACACTGCAAATGATGTGATATTTGATGCAAGCTGAAACAAGACAAGGGAAGTCAAAGGAGAATTTAGAAACATTCCTTGGGGAAAACACCAAGATAAAGGAAACACCAAGTCAAGTCTTCATACCTCAGTGCCATTAATGTAAAAACGGCACCTGTCAGTCAGACCAAGGACAGATTCCTACAAAGAAACAAAATTAGAATTACTAAGATTTCTGATGCCAGCCAGTTACCTAACCTTTCCATTAGTTCCACAGCATTATAATATCAAGGTGCTTGTAGTAAGCAGGGGACACAGGTGTCTAAGGTGTGGTTGTTCCAGCACAGAATGGATTAAGGTGACAACAGCAAACTCCGTCATTTCTATCTTCTGTGAGTTATCTTCAATAGACCCTCTTCCCCCCTTCCCCATATCTACTCCAGTCATCTTTGTGAGTTCCACCTTCCACTTATGCCATGCCTCAATTCTCCACTGGAAAACCAGAATTATCTTTCCACCATGAATCAGTTCATGTTACTCGACTGGTTACAAATCATCAATAGCTTTCCAATCTTCTGAAAAAGAATAATCCAAACCTCCTTTTAAGGCCTATCACTGTAGCCATCCTACCTCCTTTCACGCAGTGAATAAGCAGAGCTCTTTCCAAGCGCAAGTTCAAGCAAGGTGTTCCTGGAACACTTTTTCTTTCTCAAGAATCGTGCCTTCTCTCTTTCACATTGAAGATGATACATCACCAATTTATAGGATCACCATGAGCAGTTTCCTTACAGCTTCCAC